CATGGACAGGGCACTCCGCAGGCCCCAGATGGAGTGCTCAGGTGAGGGGTGTTAGCAGCTGTGCTAACACCCTGTCACAATAGAGGGTGGGGTCATCCTCGGTGACCAGAGCCTGGGCCAGCGGGTGGGAATGCACATTCCTCACACCCTAGTCTCAATGGGGCTTGCTCCCTGGCCCTGGCAAGGGTAGCCCACTTCAGCTGCAGGAGCCCCACCCAACTGGTGATCAAGTCCCAGTGGCAAATTTTACACCACTTGCATCCCAGTCTCCATCCTGGTGGCACTCACTTCTCATCTCCAGCAGCTACACCCCATGCCTTGCTTGCTTCTTAGCTCTGGCTGTAGGTATGCTTCCAGCATACTCCCCATTCCCAGTAGCGACAGCTCGAGTTTCTGTCATGCCTCAGTCCTGGCACTGCTGGGCTGCAGGACAGCAAGCAGTCTGTCAAAGGCTAGGTTTGAAAATGATATCTTGTTCCTCAGACATTTCAGGGACGAGATGTCAGGGGAGGCTGGAGAAGCAAATAGACTCAGGAAAGTTCTCCACCTCTTGGTGAACCTGCTTCTGCACCTTGCATACCTGCGGAGCTGCTTAACCACAGGTGCTTTTCACTCTGTTCTCTTCACCTCCTTGTTCTGGGATACAGGGACAATTCTCTGGACACTATGAAGATCTTCCTAGGGATCTCCTGCTAACTTCAAGTCAAAGAGTAACAGAGACTGCAACAGAGCCACTTGGGCCTCTTAAAGCAGAGGATACAGAGCAGTGGGGTAGGTCCCTCAATTCAGTGAGCAGACAAGACACAAAGGCTGACTTAGGTTTTATTTTCATCATGAGCTTGCAGAAATATATTTTTTCTTGATGTTCAGTGATTACATTCAAAAGTTTATTTTGAATGTAATATTGTTATTTATCATTCACTGACAGGTCATTTGTAGCTTCACAAAAAAAAAAAAAAAAAAAAGACAGGGAAAGGGAGGGATAGATCTGTGAGACTGTGCCTAATACAATCTGTGTGTGCATTTCTGTGGGTTTGAAAACCCACTTGCTCTTTATACTAATTCAAACTAAGCAATTGTGAGTAAGAATAGCTTTAGAAGGTGCACATCTAGGCTGTGCACCTTCTAAACAATTGAACAATTGGCCCAGGTGTAGTGGCTCGTGACTGTAATCTTAGCACTTTGAGAGGCTAAGTAAGGCAGGAGGATTGCTTGAGCCGCAGAAAGTTGAGAACCAGCGCTGGCCGAACCATGTGAAACCCTGTCTCTACTAAAAAATACCAAAAATAGCCAGGCATGGCAAGCCGGGTGCCTGTAATCCCAGCTTACCGGAGACTGAGCCTGGAGATCGCTTGAACCAGGAAGGCAGAAGGTTGCAGTGACCCGAAATCGTGCCATTGCACTTCCAGGCCTGGGCAACAGAGGGAGACTCCTACTCAAAAAAAAAAAAAAGAAAAGGGGTAGCATCCTGTCCACATAGATAGGTTTAAGTTTAGAAAGCAATTACCAAACTGCCTTTAGATAACTACATCAGTATAACCAATGGCGGATGCTGGCCTAAAGGGAAAGGAAGAGTAAGATCAGCACTGAAACTGATGAAGACTTTTATGGGGTATGAACTAAGAGAATAATTTTAAAATCTGAAACAATTGGGCCCAGGGTAGTGGCTCGGACTCCGTAATCTTAGCACTTTGAGAGGCTAAGTAGGCAGGAGGAATTGCTTGAGCCGCAGAAGTTTGAGACCAGCCTGGGCAACATGGTAAAACCTTATCTCTACCAAAAAAAAAAAGACAAAAATTAGCTGGGCATGGTGGTATGTGCCTGTGGTCCCAGGTACTCTGGAGACTGAGGTAGGAGGATCACCTGAGCCTGGGGAGGTCAAGGCTGCAGTGAGCAGTGATCACACCACTGCACTCCAGCCTGGGCGACAGTGAGACCCTGTATAGATCAGTCGATAGATAGAAAGAATGAATTCATCAATAACAGCATATAGTATTTGAAAGCAAGTATTGTATTAAGAGAATAAAAAGAAGCATTGGTAATTGAAGGTAAATTGATGCCTTTGTAGCAATAACTTGGCAGTTCTGCAAAGCTAAATCATGTTTATGGCCAGTCATGAGTAGACTGCAAAATTCGAGAGTTCACTCTTTGCAGCCTGTGAATGAATCTGCATGACATTTTATTTCAAACCATCTTTCCTTTGGAGCTAGCAGGAGCTTCTTTCAAGCATACTTCCAGCCACTAGTGCTCCCATCCTCCTTGATTCAAATAGGCACAAATATGGCCATCCATTTTTCCTTTACCTTTCCCAGAAATGTGATTGTTTTCACTGCTCTTTTACTGTTTTCCTCTTAAGATAAATATAGTAATGATTTCATAAGATGACCATAATGCAGAATGTTTTCCTAAATATCTGCCTTTAGTGTAATGTAATTCTGATGCAGAATGATGGCAAAGTTTTAATTAGCAACATTTAAGCTATAAGAAATAACCAGTTGACCTTGGCAATTATTCCATTTATGTATTCAACAAATATTATATTAAGCACTTATTATGTGCTATAAGTTTTGCTACCTGGTGGAGATGATTAGCAAGACACAGTTCTTATCATCTAAGGACTTGCAGTCGGGTGAAGTAGACAAATAGGTGCCCTAAAATATAATAGGCATTCTTCTAGAAATCAGAATTCAGCGAAGACCCAAAAGAGGTAGTGGTCAGGTCTAAGGTAAGGATGTTGAGAGTGGAGAATAATAGAGCAAGCTGGAAAGGATTCATAGAAAAAGCAATATTGAACTGAATCCTTTAAAAAAATAAAAAAGAAGGGAAAAGAAAGGAAAGAAATACAATTAATAGAGTCTTTGTAAGCTTTTTCAATGTAAAAGAGATCTGGAGAGGTAAGAGAGGACCCTGATGAGTCTGCCTTAAATGACTTGCTGAAAAGTTTGAACTCTAACCTGTGAAGGGCATTAAGAAGGGTGGCCATATAACCAAATTGACATTCTGGAAAGAAAGATGTGTAAAAGACCAGTTAGAAGATTATTGTACTAGTCCAGAAGAGAGATGATAATGACCAAACCAAGACAATGAAGAGGGAGGAGAGGTAAAATGTGAGATTTGATTATTGCAAAATCTGTAGGATATGGTGAATGCTGGAAGGATATAGTACTACTGAGTTCCTCTCAGTGAGAGGGCATCTCTTGGTCCAGTCAGGTTGGGGAGAAATGAATTTTCTTGGCCATGTAGATCAGAAGCGTAGGATGAATCTGGACTGGAGACAATGCTTTGGAGCTTGGCAGTAGTTGAAGCTATGGGAATGGTTGAGATTGCCCAGGAAGGCTTGTAGAGTGAGAAAGAAATGGGCTGAAGGCAGAGCTGTGAAGGTCACTAATAGGTAAGGGATATGCAAGGGGAGAGGAATGGCAGGAACAGGCTGTCAGTTGTCTAGCATCTGAATTATGTGTGTTGGATGGAGGGGTAGATGTGAGTGAAGTAATACAGATTGCCACTGTTGATATGACTGACAAAGCTCTAGCTCCCCATTATACCACCAAGGGACCAGTGAGTATTTTATTGGAGAAAAACTGAAATTGCCTCGTCCAGTAGGGGAGGTAATTTTCAAGGCTTTTAATTTCCTGCTAAGTTGCTAAATCACAAGAGATTGTTTTAAAGGATACTCTTCCCTCTTTCCTTGTTTGGAAGGAATTCTATAGGCAGAAAGTTATTCTCAGAGCCCTGGGCTTTGAGAACCTCCTTTAACCATTCATCACAACAGCTCTGAGTAAATGAGGCATATTTGTATGGCTAAGGAGTCCAAAGAGCCACTGACTGGGTAGCAGTTAGTTAAGCTGGTAACTGACCTGCTTTATCTCTGAGTGGCCTCTATTCCAACCCTTTTATTTAGAGACCTGATATGCTTCATACTATTGGATGGCACATTCTAGAACTCTTACTGGGGTGTCCTCCTGGAAGTGGCCATGCTGAACTGGACACATCTGAGTAATCCATGGAAAGTTCCATGGGTTCTTTTTGCATGGGTCCTGTTTTCTGAGATAGGTAGATCCATACCTTCCTAACCAACAGGGGAGGGGGTAGAACCAGGGCTGTGGGAACTCCCTGAGTGTCAAATGGAATTTTCAAGAGATTACCCTCATCTTTTTCCAAATGTTTTATTAAGGTGTGTGTACTAGCATAAGGAATTCGTAGTCTCTGTTCCTAAACTTTGTTCCAAATGGTTATGTGGTTGCAGTTCTCCGGGAATTGACCTTTAGAAGGAAGACACTAAAACATCGGAATGTAACACAAATGCACTGTTACTCCTCCCCTCTTTTGTCTCGATCCCATGGTTCCTAGGAAGCAGCTTTATTCCTAGGAAGGAACTTTATTCTTACACATTTAGGCATCACCTTTGTCTGCTAAGTCCTCCTTCTCCCTGACCACAGAAGACTTCATGGTAAATCAAGCCCACTGCTCTCACAAGCTTTTCTTCTTAACTTGGTCTGGTTGAAACATAGCTTCATGCAAATAGTATCAACATTGCTTATAGCTTAGCAGGGCTGTCCTTTGGGGCCAGTCATAATGACAGCTGTATGATAGTAAAAAACCAATGCCAAAGCAGTTTCTAAACAGTAGTACTTGTTGAGAGGAAATGTTTTTCCTCTATCAGGAACTTTCCTCTGGGACCTGTTTATATGTCTGTGCGCACGCATGCAATGGGTGCTAGAAAAGAAACAACTTTTCATGTGGAATAGTGTTACTTCTGAGAGAAGGAATTTTGCCAATTAAATGTTTGTAGGGATTCATTTTAGAGTTTCTATCCTTTGCCCAAGTATGTCTTTTGTGCTTAATAGGAAATGAGCCTTGTTTAATTTAGTAAAACATAACACCATTTCTTTAGGAAAGTGAGGGATCCTTTTCCCTTCGAACTTAAGTGTTACACATTGGAACATCAAACCAGGTGTTTAAAATACTTGAGTGCTATAACACCTGTCCTTCTGTTACAGGTGCAACAATGAGAGTGAATGGTCCCAGATCCACGAGAACATCATCCGAAAGTCCAGTGCCAAGTACTCTGCCCCCAGCGCCAGCCATGGTGAGGTACTTCTCTGACTAGAACATTTTGTGTTGCATTTGTAGTTGCTAATCATACAGTACTTCAGTTGGTTGGTGCAGATTGCCTGCTGTATTCCCTATGGACATTTATTCTCCTGTCCAGGCATTTCCTACTCATTCTTTTTGTAGTAATTTGAGGCTTTCCCTAATATCTGCTGACCAAAATACATTTTCTGCTTTTTCTAGGATGAGTTCCATATGCTTTGATAGGTAACTTGAGTTCTAATTCAAATCCAGAGTGAGCAAAAATGTTGCAGGGTTTGTTACATTGTGAAGTCTATGTTTGCCTAAAAAAAAGATTATACTCAGCCAAATAAATATCTCTCTATATATATAGCTAGATATCTATATAGATATAGACATCACACACTTCTCTGTCTATTCCTGAAAGACTGACCATAATGAGAATCAGTGATTAGTCTGTCAGTATCAGTCATTCTGAAACTAGAATGGAAAATCTTTATTTCAAAGAAGCTTCATTTTAGCTCAACTTCTCCTTTTCCTTTTCCCGTCCTTTCTTTAAAAACTCTGTTTAAATAATTTCTATAAAATCTCAGTACAGTTCTACATATCGTATTGTTTTCTAAGTTAAACATTAATGCTTGATTAAATTAGAAACATTATTTAAAAGCCTATGTGCCTTTATAGACCCTTGCAGATAGCTATCTAATTTACGCAGAACCAAGTTACTCCTGACAGTTTTTACCTCTAAATCATTTTATAACCTCTTTTACATAATCTTCTTTAACTTGCATAGACCTTGTTGGAAATTATAAGTTGTCCTTAAATGACAGTGTAAAATCACTGAGAGGCAAGCAGTTTCTAAAGAGTAGTGCATGTTGTAGAAAACTTCGTTTTTTCTCTGTTGGGGTGAGCAGATACTCAACTAGGAGGATCCTTAGAGGAGATCCACACCAGAGGCTGCCAAGATTGAGACCTTCAGCTGTAACAACTTGATTCCTCTAAAACCCTAGTGGGGGTTTAGGTGATATCTGAGAGCCTCTCACTATTTTTAAATGACAGTTTTCCCTTATACATGTGCCTGGATGCCAAGTAGCTCCATGCAGTATGCTAAATCTAGGCTAAAGCAAGAGACAAATAAAATTTTATTTTGAAAATATAGGAAAGTTACTAGCAATTTGGGAAACTACAATTCACATCCATATTTGTCATGTTCTTTGCTTTATTTACTTATTTGATTTATAAAGAGGTGCCCTTGACTACACATTCTTGGGACATAGTATGATTAAAACATATAGAGAATATTTAAAAAGAGAGATGATAGTACTAATTCGTGAAAGAGCAACTTCTACCATTGCTTCACCGGGTTAAGATGGTGAGATTTGTCTTGCTCCCCAGAGCGAGCAGGGACTGTGCCATGTTCTGTGTCTGATTTTTGTCTAGAACTCACAGACACTTGCCATTTAAACAGTGTTAGAAAGACCTCTCTGCGGGGCACCACAGACTTCAGAGAGCCTCAGTTGGGATGGCTGTAATGAGAGGAGGTCTCTGTGTAGTTGTGGAAAAGTCAGTAGGAGGAACAGGCTGCTTCTTTTTGAAGTATGTTAGAAGCTAGCTGAGACCTTGGAAATCACCTGTGTCAACCCCCTCATTAAATAAATGAGGAAACTGAAGCTCAGCAAAATGACTTAGTGGCTGAACAAGGATAGAACCCAGGTCTCCAGACTCCAGACCTTTGGCCTTTCTACTCAGTTGCCAAGCTTCTGAGCATGGGTTTTCTACTGCTGGACTCTGGGGTCTTCGTGTCAGAGAATTTTATAGATTGCTCAAGGAATATTTCAGGTCTTTGTTAGTCTGCTTAATTAAAGATACATCTTTATTAAAAATCAGTTTACTTTGCTATAAACTTTTACCCATCTTTGTTAAATATTGTGGGCAGTTCATTGCCTTGCAGTTCTGTTTCCAAAGTCATTAGTGCTTTTCCTTCAAGTCACATAATTTAAAAATGCAGAAGCAATTGCTACACTGGGTTTGAATGCTGAGAGTAAATGTATCATCCAGCAATAACTCTTTTATGTGAACTTTAATAGATGTGGGTCTTCATTTCCATTGTTGGCCTCTTGGATGTGTAGCTACAAACTGAACTTTTAACAGTTCCAGTAGTAGCATGAAGAGTATTAAGGACAAGTGAAGATAAAGCAGTTGACACACAAGTTTTCTATTTATTTTAAAATGACTGTTAACTACAATTTATTTCCATATCTTGGGCTGACATTAATTTATATAATTAATCCTCATCCAGCATTTCCACAAGGAGGGGTGGGGGCGTGTGGCACAAGAACAGAGTCAAGTTGGTGCCCTCGAATATTTTACACAGGTGTTAATTTGTCCAGTTACTTTTTTATGAGTCAGTCTTTAATCCGGTAAGAGGTTCAGTAAGAAAATGGTTTTCTTGTGTCAGGTAATCAGTGAGACCAGATTAACAGAGAAATTGTATAGACTTTGTTATTTTCAAATTCTTTGATTTGAGGGCCCCATTGAGATGATAGTCAGGTAGAACATCAAGTGTTGCCAAGGGACTGGTTGCATACTGGGTGAGTGGGTCACTTTTCTGAACTATTAATGAAGGCCCTCTTGTGCCCAGAATCATGCCTTAGCATTATTTGGTATGTGCTTCATACCAACACAGGGTTTCAGAACTAGAAAGAAAACCCACAAGTTCCAGGATCCCAACTCTACAAAAGGACATACAGTTTTTATAGCCTCCATTGTTGATTTCTTTCATTCTTTGCATGTCTTTTCATCTGATCCCTTGCATGAACTTGAAGGTTTTCTCTTATTTGTTATGTTTAGAAGTAGAGAGCAGCTCTTTAGGATCCCTTTGGGTAACTCAAAAGCTAACTGTGATACTCTCAGCACCTTTAGTCAACATCTTCATGAGTTTCACTTTGCATCTGTAGGCCGTTTTGGTTGCTCAGAAAATGCAGAGACAAAAGGCAGTCAGCAAGTACTTAAATAAACCCTTGGCAATGCAGAATGGTTAGAGTATACCCACTGATTTTTTTTTTTTTTTTTTTTGGCTTTTGCCGTCCAACCGCAACTCTCTCAAATTATGGAGACTTTCATCCCCAGCTGTTTGCTTCATGCTGGGCTGTCTCGTAAGTCTGATTTCTGTTTACCCAGAGGATACGATTTGATAGCTATGTAAACACAACAAAGATGAATAAGTTAGGGTTATGAGGGGAGGGCAGATATATCCTAAGCTGTTCTCTACAAAGATTATTGTGGTTTTGGTTATGGCTCCCAGCCTTTCAGGTTCATAAACTAATTGCAGTTTAGTCCGACAGTGATTAGGTTTAAGATAATTACTTTAGAGGGGCTGAAATCTTAAACACTGATTATCTAACCAGAATACCAACTGGAATACTGTATGTTTGCCTTTTCAGGGCACTGTGATCCTGGTGTTAATGACACTTGAGATACCATGTTTGTAATCCCAAGGTTTCTTGGGAAGCATGAGTTTAGCAGAAGCAACAAGATAATCTTGAGGTTCTGTCTGAGCTGTAGTAGAACCGTATTTCATCCCTTGGCCCAGCTCTGAGAGTACATATTCCTGGCTACTGGCATACTTTTCTTGCCAGATAAAATATCTGTAACTCTTCTATCTGACTTCTGTCTTTGTCTACTTTTCCATTCCCTCCTCCATCCCCATTCCTAGACCATTCTTATTTTACAATTCTACTTGTTACTATCTCCATTCCAGCTACTACTCTTGTAATTGTATTCATTATCATAACACCTTATTCCCTCATTTCTATAGATGTTCATCTGCTATTTAACTCCCAAGTTTATAGACCAATGAGGGTGCCTCCTCTCAACCCATAGATCAGCACCTAAATTCTTCATCCTGTTAACAGCTAAACCCATTCACAGTTATAGAGGTAGCACTTCCTAATTCCATAGAGGCTTGACTGTTACAGCCTTCTAGCCAGGAGCTGCAGAGGGGACCCTCAGGAGGGTGCTGTGGAGGTGGAAATTTCAGGAGATTCTAGCTTTGTGCACAACTCCAAGGGTGTAAGTAATGAGCCAGAAGGCAGCTCACCTGGGGTGATATTTCAAATACTCCCAAGTTTTGATTAAAGATCATGTGGAGGATCTGAAATCCTCATGGAGTCAAGGCTTGGTTAGTCCCACAAAAGCACCCTCTTTTCTTTGCAGAATGTGATGTCTCCTCTGTTGCTAGCCAGTGCAAGATTAAACTAGCAAGTTACTTCCCACACTTTGACATACTCCCAGCATAAAACACAGCACATCTTAGCTTGCTCATTTCTCATATTTGGGATGCCCTGACTGAAGGTCTTCTTTGGCCATGCTTGTTTCTACTCTATAGATTTCTCTAGGTTCCTAAATATGTAACTTACGTAGTTCAACCCTCTCATTCAGTAGGGCCAGCTGGACTCTAGTTGGATGCTGGGGAACAGAGGGAGAGACAACTCAATCTCCCAGACCTCAGTCTGTGTTTAATAGACTAGTTCTCTGGGTTATTGGGGTCACTTTAACTTAAATTTCTTTAGCTTTCCAAAATGTTTCTTGAAAATAACTTACACTTTCTGCCTCAAAGTTTTTCTCAAGAATTTTGCTGAACTTTGCAAATTTTCTTCTGGAAAATGTGACTATGTCTTTTCTAGTACTATATAACAGGGTAGAACTGTGGTTCTAAGAAAATGCTTTTGGTTTTGCAGGTCTTATCATTTCTCTGCAGCTTCTTCGTGGAGACATGGAACAGATTCGGAGAGAAAATCCCATGATATTTAATAGGGGATTGGCAATTACAAGAAAATTGGGATTTCCTGATGTCATTATGCCAGGTATGCAGAACTGCTTGGGGCTGGGAAGGTAGATGGGTTAGGATGGAGTCTAGTGCTCCCCTCCCGAGAAGGTGGTGAACTGTGCTATGGAGGAGACCTGCAGCTATTAAAATCTCCCACATCCCAAGTCAGACTGCTTACTGCAGTCTGCAGTCAATGGCCCTTCGGCTCTTACAGGCATTTGTTCTTTTCCAGAAGCCCCTACATTGCATTCACCAGTGCAACATGACAATCCAGCAGATAGGTAGGCTTTGTTGTCTTCTATGAAGCCTGGATGGTAGAAGTGAATATGGTACCTTCATGGAGAGTTTTTATACTCTTCCTTCCTTTTCTTAGAAGATAATTGTCTCACAAGAACTTCCTGCTTAAGGGGAAGAATATATCAAAATATATGCGTGTAGTATCAGTGAATCCCATATGTGTAGGAATAGCAGATACCTTGCCATTTTCATGTATCAGAAAAATAGATCAGGCAAATGGTATAAATTAGACATTGTGAATATAGCACTACCTGGCCAGCTTCTCAGAAATTGTCTCACCCATTTCATCTAATGCCCAGTGGAGATCCAGGGCACAAATTGGGAATGCATTGACCCTCAACTGTGGTCCCAGTAGGTCAATATCAGGTTCATGTTTTCTAATTAGGCAGACATGGGTAGGACTGGAAAAGTGGATCCAAATGGGGCATCAGAGCCAAGGGAGTTATCAGGAGTGAAGGAGGGGTAGAGGCATGGTTCAGATGGATGGTAGGTGTTCAGATAACCAGAGAAGATGCAAATAAGGAGAAGAAGATTAGAACAGGTAAATGTCTGGTTGTCTGGATAGATTATAGGAGGGGTGGACTTACCCTCTCAGTTCAGTTTTTTGTTGTTGTTTGTTTGTTTTGAGACAGAGTCTTACTCTGTTGCCCACACTGGAATGCAGTGGCGCTATCTTGGCTCACTGCAAACTCCACCCACTAGGTTCAAGCGATTCTCCTGCCTCAGCTTCCCGAGTAGCTGGGACTACACATGTACACCGTCACACCTGGCTAATTTTTGTAATTTTTGTAGAGACAGGGTTTCACCATGTTGGCCAGACTGGTCTCGAACTCCTGACCTCAAGTGATCCATTGCTGGCATACTGGTGTTGAACTCCTGACCTCGGCCTCCCAAAGTGCTGGGATTACGGACTTGAGCCACTGCATCTGGCCTCAGTTGAGTTTTAATGCCCTGCTAAAAGCTTATTTGCTTTTATTGTAAAGGGCCAGGCCAGACTAGACTGAACTGATTATGATCACTTTAAATATCACTTATTTGGAGTTCTTCATGGTGGTTCACTAAATTCTCTTGTTGGAAGCATTTGCCAGCACATACACAAAGGGTTGGGTAGCCTGGCCATAGAGAAGGCCTATGTGATGGGTTCCAGCTGCCTTCCAACTTCCCAGGCTATGCCCAGATTTATTTCCTGTCACCTTCATTCTCCCTCCATAGACACTGTAAATGCAGAGCAAGCTGCCACGCACAGCCTTCATCTTCTACTAATGCACACAGGAGAGTCTTTTGGATGGGAAACGTAGGCTAGTAGATCAATTATGTTTTTATCTAAATGCTAGGGAGACTTCGTGCTTATGAAAGCTGTTGTAGGGGTAATGACCGCCACAGGACACTTCTACTATCCTGTCGTGACACCTTTCTTAGCTCTTTCTGGGCTGCTAATTAGGAAAAGAGCCCAAGCATAGTCAGGCTTCTTGACTATGAAGGAAAAAAAAAAAAAGGGCCAGGCGCGGTGGCTCACTCCTATAATCCCAGCACTTTGGGAGGCTGAGGTGGGCAGATCAGGAGGTCAGGAGATCGAGACCATCCTGGCTAACATGGTGAAACCCTGTCTCTACTAAAAATACAAAAAATTAGCTGGGCATGGTGGTGGGCACCTGTAGTCCCAGCCACTTGGGGGGCTGAGGCAGGAGAATGGTGTGAACCCGGGAAGTGGAGTTTGCAGTGAGCCGAGATCGCACCACTGCACTCCAGCCGGGGAGACAGAGCGAAACTCCGTCTCAGAAAAACAAACAAACAAAACGTTACCAAAATTGAAAAAAGAATAAATAGATACCAAAATCAACCTGGTGATCTTTTAAAAATTAGATATCTAGGCTTATGTGGTAGAATGTATCCCAAGGGGATATACTTAAAGTCCTTCCTTTCTCTTAAGAACTTTTCTAAGATTCAGATACTACCTTCCTGATAGTCTTCACATACTCCTGGGATTAAAACCAAGTGATCAGAGACTAGAAAGGAACAAGCTTCAGTCAAAAATGTATTTAAGCAAAATTTGATTTTAAGTTACATTGTCAAAATCTCATCTGTGGAAAGAAATCTTTTTTAGGATACTCTGCATCTCTTTGTATCATTGGCACACAGCTAGACATGACTGTGCAAATGTGCAATTTCAAGCATTGGTAAGGCAAGCTGAGGTTAAGGGGATTTTCCCTCCTCTGGGCAGCTAAGATATCATCATATGATTTTCCCCACAAGGCAGAGATACTGGGCAGTCCTGGCAGGCCCAGGGTGGGGCTGTGAGCCTGCCTTTGAAGTACTGAGTGCTATAGCCGAAAGTGAGGACTGATTCATAGGCAGAACAGCCCTTTTCCATAATCTTCCATCCTTTCTCTTCCAGAGAAAAGAACTTTTGCACAGATGGCCACTCCCAGGGTTGTGGGCTGTTAACAACTCTCATTTCCCCCTTAATATGCCCCAATATACTGTCAAGAGTAGGTTTGCAGTCCCTGGGCAAAGTGATAGGACTGTACCTGCAGGTCCTATTGGATCAGCAGGAAAAGTATGCAGGAGTGTTTTACATTGTGGTCAGCCTGTCTTGGGAAACAGTGACTGTTAAGAAGTCCTTAGGAGTCTTTTTCAAACCCTGGCCACATCTCTACCTGAAGCTAGTCCACCCATCATCTGTGAGAGTGTTTTACTTGAGTTGTACAGTCCCTCAGCTCTCACGGTGCTGGTGTGACCAAGTTACAAGAAATTACAACTTCATCTTCTTGACCCATGAACATGTCGAGAAATAAGAAGGAAAGAAATCATGTCAGTAACTGTGACCATGACAGCATGATAAGTCTGAGAAATTAAAGTAAATGAAAAAATTAGAATTATTCATAAACTGTGATCCTTATTTTAAAACTGTCCAGCATTTGGCAGAAACTATCACTCATTTGGAAAGGTCTTTTTTTTTTTTTTTTTTTTTTGGTCAGGATGGCCCAGATAGGTCCTTGTCAAAGCATACTGGCAGAGCTGTAAGGGAGAGTTCACACAGGCTCTAGCCACACCAGTAGCTAACATATGATTTCTAAAAAGATCTTCTTGACATTCTACCATTGCTTTCCATGAGAGCGTACATACATATCACAGGGATGATGTGAGCATGAGATATTCTGCTCTTTCATGACTGAGGCCATGACTGCACAGCCATTCAGTTCTGCTCATGACCCTTGGTAATGAGCAAGAGGCAACAGTGATACTGCTGGTGTTCTGGGAGCCAACCCAGGAAATGCCATCTTAGATTATGGAAGAACAAATAGATATGAGAAATTTAGCCACTTTTTTTTTAAACTGAGCATATAACCTTTTGTTAGTTGATCACCATATTTCAGTGGATACTTTTTCTTTCCTTCTGAACTCATTTTAGTGAAGTATAAAAGCTAGTAATAACTCTATGGCACACTTTTAGTCCTTTTCTAGATTTTTTAAGAAGATGGGCAGGCAAGACAAACAGGACAGGTGTTCCAGGTAAACAAATTGATGTTAACATTGTTTTCTGTAACTCCTGTGTCAGAATTAACTATAATAAAACTTTAAAGAAAACGGTTAGCCAAAAATGTATAACCTGAAAGAAATGATTTAAAACCTCTAACTCGGGCCAGGCTCAGTGGCTCATGCCTGTAATCCCAGCACTTTGGCAGGCCAAGGCAGGCAGATCACTTGAGGTCAGGAATTCAAGACCAGCCTGGCCAACGTGGTGAAACCCCATCTTTACTGAAAATACAAAAATTAGCCCAGAGGTAGTGTTGGGCACCTGTAATCCTGGCTCCTCAGGAGTCTGAGGCAGGAGAATCGCTTGAACCTGGGAGGTGGAGGTTGCAGTGAGCCAAGATGGCACCACTGCACTCCAGCCTGGGTGACAGAGCGAGATCCCAACTCAAACAAAAAACTTAAAATAAAACCTCTTGCTTGGTCAGACACGGTGACTCACGCCTGTAATCCTAGCACTTTGGGAGGCCAAGGCAGGTGGATCACCTGAGGCCAGACATTCAAGACCAGCCTGGCCAATATGGCAAGACCCCATCTCTAAAAAAAAAAAAAAAAAAAAGGCAAAAATTAACCGGGCATGGTGGCGTGCACCTATAGTCCCAGATATTCGGGAGGTTGAGGCATGAGAATTGCTTAAACCCGGGAGATGAAAGTTGCAGTGAGCCAAGATAGTGTCACTACACTCCAGCCTGTGCGACAGAGCAGAACTTGTCTCAAAACCAAAACCAAAACAAAACAAAAACCTCTTGCTCAAGAAGGGACTGTACCCTTCTTCAGACCATGTCTAAGCCAGCAGAGATGTGCCACCACTTGCTATGGCTGTCTTTCTTTGCTTTCCTGGAAAGTCTGTACCCTGTAGTCAGTGGAAATAAAGGGCTTTGTCGTGGTTCTTTGGGAAGCACAATGATTTAACCCGTTTTCTAGGCCTTGAATTTCTAAAGTTATCATTGACTGTAGGTGATATGAGCCAAATTTCATATTAAATGGCTTTCTGTCTTGTCATAAGAAGCCCATCTACGATTCATTATGTTGTTCTAACAGATGACTAAGTTTTTTTCCTAAAGCAGTGGTTCCCGAACCTTAGTGTGCTTCAGAATCACCTGCAAGGCCCATAAAACAGATTTCTGGGCCCACCCCAAGAGTTTCTAACTTAGTAGGATTGTGGTGGGACCTGGCAATTTGCGTCTCTCACAAGCTCTCATATGA